TTTTTTTACACCATTGTGTTCATCATTGAGGTGAACTTTTTCCCAGCCTTCACCTGACCTGTCTCTGAAAATCAAATTTCCTGCACTTCAGTGCACTTTAGGCAGGATCTGAAGAGCTCTTGGTCAAGACTGTAAYCTCAAATCGGGCTTGTCTCTGGGAGTGTGCACCTCGTACCTTGTAGAGCACAGAATTAACCTTGGAAGAGAATGTATTTTTCTGCATCATCATGTGAGGGTGCCCAGGGTCCCTCAGGTGGACCCTCCCTCCTGATGTGAGCCATTGCTGAGAATTTGTGCAGTAGAGGTTGAGCTGGAGRAGGAAAAAGCTTCACATCTGTGTGGTGGAGAGGTGTGAGGCCACCAACACCTCCCAGGCTGCAGAAGGAGGCTCAGGCCACTCTCCTGCTCCCTTGGCACTTCTGGAGACTTTGTAGGTGGCCATATCCCAGCAATTTGAGCTGGGAGCTGATGGAGAGAGAGGGGTTGTCACCTTGTGGAGATTTCTACTTCTCCAGGGCAGAGATTTTGGTGCTGCTCTGTGGTGGTGATAGAGATAGAAAGAGTGATAAGGGACAAAGTGGTGTGTTGATACAGGTGGATGGGTGGTCTTAATTAGAAAGAAATATCCATAAGCAGCTTTTCGAATCAATATTGTTTTTGCCAGCCACAAATTTCCATTCAGTATCCCCTGAGAGCTCATTTGACCYCAGACCTGCTTGCTTTTCTGATTTTATATGGAAGCTGGAGGGTGAATTAGTGGCCACAATCGTACTGCTTGTGCTCTGTATGACTGATCACATAAGTCTYCCCCCACCTCCTAAATTTAATTATYTTTGATTTTGATTTATACCAATATTTGCATAGGTGGTACCACAGGTCAGCTCCTCCTACAGAACAGCAACTTGTAAACATAATCAAAGAGGCTTTTGTCAGCTATTAATGGAAACATTGATTAATCTCCCACTGATTTGGTAGCCGGCTGAAAAGCTCATAAAGCAGAAAATGAAATTGTTCATTAAACTGGCCAGGCTGTAGGTGCCAGGATGTGGATGCCTACTGTGTGTTGAGTTCATTTCAGCAGCATGGTGGCTCCAGCAGGAAATGCAAACTCTTRTTGTTGTCCTGTTGTGCTGCAGGAGACCTTCTTAACATCTTCCCTTTCCTTTTCTTCACAGATGATGCCAGCTCAGGAAAGGACAGCCAGGTGCCTGAAGGCTCCAACGGAGAGTATGAAGATCATTCTGGGAAGCAGTGGGGTAAGGAACAGTGTGTGTTTTGTGTTTTCCCTCTGTTCTTGCTACAGTGCTGTTCACGTGGCAGAGAAAAGGCAGAGCTGGAGTGAGCTCTCCCTACATATGGTCGAATAATAARCAGAGTGTCAGCTGAATGTGTTGGTGTGAATGGATCCCATCCAAGGGTCCTGCAAAATGCAGCCTGTGGTTGGCCCTAGGGCCCCCTGCCATTTACCCCAGCGTGGTTCTCCCTTGTATTTGTTTTTCTGGGCACTGACTTTCTTTTGCATGTGCAGCTATTACGGCTTTCATAGACTCCCTATAAAAAGCATATTGACTTTTACAGCAATATTTCCAAAAGTCTTCAGTGCCAACATAACATTTCTCCCACTGAGGGCAAATGGGAGGTCTGACTTCACTTCAGGAGAATTAGCACTAAGCCAAGATGAGTATTTCTTAAAATCCCCCTCTCTTTTAGACACCTGCCTGAACTTCCCCAAGCCCTGGGCTATTCAGGCATAAGATTTGGTTGCTGTTGCAGAGCTTTGGGGAACTGCTAAAATCTGACTTGGAACAGGCTCTGAATCACTGCAAGACTTGCAGGTCTGGCTTGGTCTGAGCACTCCTTGAAGGACAATAAGTTGTCAGGCTGATGCCAAACAGCTTTTGGCTTTTACTGACAGGAGTGTGATGTGAGTTTATGAGTTTGGTGCATGCAGCGCAGCGTTTCCATTTTGCTCGTGCAGTACATCCCTCTCTTTAATTTTATAATACAGAGATGGCTTTGTAACACATTTTTGGCCAGGGAAAACCTCACAGCAGTGGTAGGGGTGGAACCTGACAGGTTTTCATTGTATGAGTCCCCACCACTGAAGCTGAGGCCAGTTTTCTTCAGGAGCTGGCAAACAAGGCATGTGGTGTGCTGTGGTGTAGTCTTGAGTTACATATTTACCTCAGACCGAGCTTGTCTGGGGAGAGAAGGTAAGCTGCACTCATTCTGGAAAGGGATGCCAACCTTTTAGAGCTGGAGGAAGGGTGTCTTAGATAAACTGCAGGTCAGGAGTGCTTCAGGAGGCGTTCAGCAGCTTGTACAAAGCTGCCATCTCTCCACTGCTCATCACATGGTACTCCTGGTAGTCCTTCTGGATGATGGATCAATACAATCATACCACAATGATATTATGAAGAAAATATGTAAGCCCTGCTAAAATTATTAGGCATGGACAATCTCATATCAGATTGGGTCTTACTCTGTGCTGCCCTGGCCCAGTCCTTTGTGCTGCAGGGTRTTCCTGAAYCTCTGCTTTTCCYCCTTYCTCTCCCTCCTGTCTCCTTTCCTCTCCCCAAGCWGAGAAGTTCCTGGGGCTGGTCCCACATCCACCTAAGCCCTTTCCATGCAGCAGTGTTCATGAGCAAATTGCTGRTGTGAGCTGGTGTGCAGGGAGGGTCAGGGTGTGTCTGCAGGTCTCTGGAGAAGCAGTTTGTGTTGTCACAGTCCTGAGCTCTGGAGAAGTGTGAGATGAGAAGCATGGTAAAAGAGCAAAGCTCCACTTTGCTTTCCATCCATAATGGTATCTCTGGGGAGCAGGGAACTCATGTGGGGAAAGATATAGACCCCTGTTTCTGTCTTTACACAACTGACTGAGCTCTGGGATGTATTTCAATACTTAGTCCTGTTGTGACACTTTCTTTGTCATTATCACAAAAGCAGTGGTAGTGACTGTCACTGTGTGGCAGTAACAGTGGTGGATCACAGCAGACAGCATTTTTCACATAATCACCTCACTGTGTATGAGCTGTGTCTGACAGGAGCCTCAGGGACTGATCCCTGCCTCTCCAGGTGTCCCACAAGGAGAGGAGATGGCTGAATTCCTTCGCAGGTCTTTGTGCTGACGGGCCCCTTTTGCAGTTAATTTTCATTAGCTTTAGATTAGGATAAATCTTCATGGTAAACAATATTTCAGCCAGGAACCCATATACAAGCTGTCTCTTTGTCCCTATCCACTTGTGCTTTCCCTTGTTCTTGAGTGTGGCATAATTTATACTGTACAAATGTGTATTTTGTGTTTATGAAGCAAATGCCAAGTGATGTGGAGGAGAACAAGCGTGTGAGTAACACAGAGGCACTTTGTAGTGGCCTGTGCTGGCACTCCAACAAGCAAAACTTCTGTAAATGCTACAGATTTGGGGACAGACATTTAGCATCAACTCAAAAGAGAACTTTTCTTGTGTGTCTCTCACAGTGCTGCTACTCCTCTTTCTTCTTTGTGCTTGCTGGGTCTCTTTTTCACTCTTATGTGTCTCTCTCTCTCTCATTTTCCTTTTTTATTGTTAACTGGCTTTTCTAAACTTGTCCAATTCAGGCTTTTGTCAAGGAAACRTTCAGGACTGTGTAAATGGGATCTGATTTCAGCATATTGCACACAGCCTGGAGTAGCTTTTGAGACCACATAATCACTTAACCTTTTTTAAACAGAGAAAGAAAGAAAGAAAGGCAGAAAGAGCCAAAGAAGTGTAGCTTTACCTGTATTTTGGTGTGTATTTGGGCAACCATGTATGAGGAGTGAATGCAAAACTCCAGACAGATTTGAGGGAGTCACAGTGGGCTGAAAACCAGAAATGTTAAAGACCTGCTTTTTTGGGTGAAGAATTTCTGTTTTACAATGCCCTTAGTGAGCAGGGACATTGCCAAGTCCTTCTGAGAACTCAGACTTGTTCACTTGACTTTTCAGTCTCAGCTGGGGAGGTGTGGCTGTCCTGGCTCCAACTTTTAATCTGTTAGTCCCAGCTCAGGAATCCTATCCATGAGGATCTCCCCTCTACTTGGACCTGGAGTTCCTGGTCTCAGAGTAAATTATTTCTATATTAGAGAGTAAACGTTCAGATCCATTTCACGGCTGATTCCTGACCTCTCCACGAGCCTTGCAGACATTTTCTCCATTTCCACCATGACAGCCCTTATCAGCCTGTCTCCCTCGGCTCAGACTAAAATTTGGGATGTTGTTATTTGCAGTGTGCAGCTCTGACAGGGCTCATTGCTGGGCAG